ATATAGTTGACCTCACAGTCATTGCAGGGTATTTTGTAAATTATATTATTTTGTTTAATTGGGTCCACCGGGTCTTTTAGCCTATAATGGAGTTAGAATTCATAGTCTGGCCATTGAACTGGGTTCCAGTCAATAAATGGTCTACGAGCTTGACTTGTAACCGGAAGCTCATGGATTTGAAGCCCAGTGAACCATACGATTGTAGGTAGAGTAAACTACAAAATGATGTCATCTCACAATAACACTTGTTTTTTGTATACAATTTTATGCGGTTGATACTGAAACCTGCTACCTAGATATGACCACCGAACAATATTTATTGCCATAGATCACTATTGGTGAGACTAGCAGTTCACTGAAACTGGTGAATTTAAGCGGGAGGGGTGGGCAGTGAACGTTTTAACACCACTCGACATTCTTTCTTTTTTGTATGCATCAAGTAAGTGTTCAGTGTGTGGGGCTACAAGTGGATTGACTAATCTGTTAAATAACTATCTATATCTTTTGAAATAATAGAGAAGATTTTTAGCTCAGGTGGATGATTTGCAATTAGTTGTGTTCTCTGAGCTGGTTGGTTTAATTGCGGAGCTTTCGTCGTCCCCTCTTCTAGACAACATCCCCTTTCAGCGCAAGTTTTAGCATAAAATGAACTGATTTAAATTCTCCATGAATAATGATATAATTGTGTCTCCTGGTAACCATCTTCGTGACTGGTAGTCGATTTACATCTGTATTGATCATTTTTAATGGACTTCGAATTTCATCTTTCTTGTCGTGTGATTTACTTTTTATTAGTTGGTATATTTGGTCTATATTAATATGTTTGTTAATCGCTGATTTACTTGAGTACCAGGCTTCTAGGAATTCTCTGGCACTTTTGGTGTTTCCTCTGTTTAAAATTTCGACATTATCCCAATCAAACTGATGTCCATAATTATCTATATGCATTGATATGAAAGAATATATATCATGTCTTTTCACAGCTGATTTGTGTTCCTGGATTCTGATTCGAAGGGGACGCCCACTTTGACCACGATGTAATGTCTGTTACAGTTCATACAATTTATTTTGTAAATGTTATTAATTTTATCTTCTTTTTCTGTTGGATCTTTCGGTTTGCACAAACATGTTAATTTAGCCCAAATCTACCAACTAATAAAAAGTAAATCCCACGACAAGAAAGTCCGACATCCAAGTCACAATAAAAAATGATCAATTCAGATGTAAATCGACTACCAGTCACGAAGACGATTACCAGGAGACACAATTATATCATCATTCATGGAGAGAGACTGATAATCACAAAGCTGGATAAAGGATCAAGAGTAGTCCTCTTTGATAGAAGTGACTATATTAAAAAGATCAAAATGTAATATTGAAGGACACACAGAAGTTTCAAAAACTTGAGGAGGAGAAGAAAGATTTCAATAACAAAAAATAGAGAATGAATTAACCAGACTTTTGAAGAAACTAAGGGAGGAGCAGATATTTTCTGAAAGTTTATGCGAAGAAATCAGACCAACGGGCACGTATACGCCAAGATTTTATATGGCCTACCTAAAGTGCATAAACCAGGGGTACCGTTAAGACCAATACTTGATATGATATGCAAAATTCGCCCTACCATGCTCTAGCTAGATGGTTAGTAAATATTCTCAAACCTTTGCATGAGAAGATAGTGAAATATATCGTCAAAGATGTATTCGAATTCGTAGACAAAATAAAAGATATTAATATCAAGGACAAAACCATGATATCTCTGGACATAACATCGTTATTCACAAATGTACCTCTAATAGAAACAGTTAATTACATTTTGTGACTAATTCATTCATTCACTATAATGTATATATATATAACTGTAGAGCCTGATGATGAAGGGGTTATCGAAAAGAGTATTCTTTGTTCAGTATCCATTCTTTTGAAGAATTTAAATGAGTTCATTTTGTGCTAAAACTTGCGCTGAAAGGGGATGTTGTCTAGATGAGGGGACGACGAAAGCTCCGCAATTAAACCAACCAGCTCAGAGAACACAACTAATTGTAACTATATCTTTCCTATTAAGACTAACTAACATGTGTATGTTATCGATTATTATTATATTATTGTTCCCTTGGGTTCCTAGTGGAACATAGGGCTTCAACTGCACGTCTCCACTTGCTTCTGTCTTCTGCTGTACTTTTCACCTGCATCCATGTTAGTCCATACTGTTTCAACTCCTCTTCACACGATCTCCTCCATGTCACCCTTGCACTGACGTCCCACTCGCCGCTTCCCTTTCGGGTTCCACTCGAGCTATGGCCTGACGCGCGATGTCACCCAGCGGCCTCCTCAGCGAGTGTCCAATCCATCTCCACTTTCTCCTGCATATTTGTTGAGCGATTGGTTCTTGTTTTGTTGTTCCCATAGTTTCTTGTTGGTGATTCTTTCCGGCCATCTGATCTTCAGTATAGAGCCAGCGAAGACAGTTGTTGATAAAGGTCTACCTGCAACCTGTTGGAAATATTCTTTGTGACCCGCCAAGTTTCTGATCCGTATAGAAGAACTGACTGACTTGACGTTTGTATTGAAAATCCGAATCAATTTGTTGTTGATGCTGAGTTGAGTGACGAAGATTTCCAGATTGGTTTCAGGTTGATGAATGTGTTTCTCGCCTTCCCGATTCTCGATTTGACATCCTCGTCCGTTCCTCCTGTAGTTGAGACAATGCTCCCTAGATAAGTGAATGAAGTAACCTCTTTCAAATCCCTCCCGTTGATGGTGATTGGCGCTGGATGTTGCTGCTACTGTTGTTGTTGTTGGTTGGTTGGTTATTTTCGTAGCCTCCGTATGTTATCGATTAATTTATATATATACAGTATGAATTATCGCGGATAAAAAAATTGGTGAGCTATAATCATGCATAACATAAAGTGAATATTGATTTTATCTAGACCATGATAGACATCAGTCAATATTATTATCATGTGCATAAAATTTAAAATTTAAATAAAGTTTGCAGCATGAAAACAACACATGAATGTATAATAGAGCTGAGAATAAATAGTTTTATATAAATATTGTATGCAATCAATATCAACCACCAATTGTGATTGTCAACTATTCAAATATTCACACTTAAGTAAGTAAGTAAGTTAGTTAAGTAAGTAAGTACAAGTGTAGGAAGGCGTTTTTATTTTGAATAAACTAAGTAAGCTATCGTGACAAATGAAAATAACATAAACACTTCTTTTTTTTTCTCTAAAAATCATAACAACAACAATAACGCAATATAGTGTTACTACGCTGAATATTGTCTATCTACAAACATTGTTAATGACTGACCTTGTTAGCACAGTTTATTTATCTATTATGTACACCATATAGTGACATTGACAAATTCAAATGTTTATAACAAAGTGCTAATCGATGCATAAAAATTAACGCATTTGAAGTGTACAGAGAATAATTTGTTTCTGAAGTTTCATCGCGGATTGATTGATGTCAGTTAAAGAACCATTGAACAACAGCAGGAAGGCAGTACTTGATAGCTGTTTCGTCCTAGTTTAGAACTCATCGGTAGTACGCACCCACCAGGTTTTCGAACCTAGGACCTTCCGATTTATATACAGCAGTGGTTCGATAGATTGTCTTTTATTGTACTCAATCAATAGATTTCATCAAAATGAACCGAGTATTAAGACTTAAGTCTAACATTTAGAGCAAACACGTGGTGTGTATTAAAGAAGTGGTCAGTTGGGCGTAAATATTGATCTCGACTGAAAAGCGGCACTATGAGTAGGCTTTGATTTAAACTAAACCACGAAAATCAGTTCTGTGTATCAGGCTATATTACAGTTGTTCTGTGAAGTGTGATGACACAGATTATCCAGTTGCTTAGGCCAAAGTAGACAAGACTGGGTGGTCAGGCCGATGAACCACCTCTCTATATAAACACTGAAGGATGAGAATGCATTAATTACTTTGGCAATTGGTAACTGACTGTGAATGTGAATAGTATTGAATCCGAACGTAAATATACCTATATCGATTGGTCACTAGGGTGTAACCGATTGACTGAATGATCTTCTGACCAAGCAATAAGTGATTAGCGATCGCGACATACCTTTGAATTCATGTTAAACGGCTGGAGGCAGTCGTCAGGATACTGTGAAACAAAAAACAACCTAGATTTCATTGTTGATGACACTCATCAGCAAGATGTATCTGCGACCTCGAAAAAATTAATATCCTTTCTAAGATTTGAACCCACTTCACAGGGATTCCTTCCACAAGGTCTCCAACCATCTCTTAGAGCTTAAAACCCTGCAAGATTTATTCATTTCATGAATACTACACAATAACATTTAAAATAAGTAATAAAGTTGGCATAGTTGGTATTGCATTTCACTGACAGAATTAAATATTCATTCCTTCCTGGTTGGGGTCCTCGGGACGGTAAAAACCAATGAAGACTGTCTCATATCCCTGTCTACTGCCTCTATTTTGCATTTCTTCTACTTTCTTCTCTTGCTTTGTGTGCTACATGGAGTGTGGCGACTTGAACTGCTGCACATCGATGCAAAGTTCTATGTTGAAAACAGACAGACAGAATATTCATTCCTTAATGAGTATTATCTTCCTACCACACACTTAATTTAAACATTTAAATAATTTCTTTTCCCCCACTTGTCCGTCAGCAAAGAGTATGATCTAACGAACATCGCTTAAATCCGATTTCACCTACTTAGTAGAATCAGTAGAACTCTAAAAAAGAAACTAGAGAAGACATTTGAAACTTAGCAACTGTGACCAGTGTCATCTATCCCGTAGAAACTATGTTCTAAAGACTACACTGTGTAGCCTCAGTGCTTCAAATATACACTACATTACGTGGATCAGTTGGGCGTTAACTCCTAACCAATCAGAAACAGAGTTGGGGAATGGAAGTAATCAGTTGCTATAGTAACTATACTATAAATAATCATTTGACAACAAACAAAAGCCAATTATAGACTTACATTGAATACATTTTTCAAAGCAGGTCCCCTATTAATACTACGTTCATCAATTGTATCCGGACTAGCAACATTGACCAGTTTGCACAACAGGATACCATTTTTACATCTTTGATACAATTGACCATCAATGCTTGGATCAATAGGTAGAATTTCATTTTGTAAATCTGGATCATGACCAAGACGTTTATTGATCCACAGTGTGAAACCTCTTTCTTCAGCTTTACTCACTGAATGTCGTGTATCATTGTCATTTTTGCCAACAGTAAACGACTAAAGGAAACAAAAGAAAAAAATTTTTGTTGTTGAAAAAAAATGAATCGAAAAACAAGTGAAACACTAAAAGGATCAAATAATCTGATCAATTATGCTTGAGAGTATAGCTTTCATCAATTCTTACCTGACTGTAATATATATTATAATACACACAGATACACTGGTCCCTATATCCACGTTACAATGAACAGTAGTGGCGGCATGCAGAAGAAAAAGGGCTCTACATGAAGATGGAGGTCACCAGGGTACTGGTTCGGAATGCTATGATATGAATCCCTCCCAAGATGATGCAAAAGTGACCTTATTGATTTCTGAGATAGGTCACAGATAAACAGTTTCAAAGTTTAAACTACTCTCCTTCTCTCTGTCTCTCTCTAGGTGAAATTCATACAAATCGTACACCATTCACCTTCATAATACTTTCCGAAGAAATATGTGTCACTATTATGCGTTAGTGGTTCAGTCTGGCGTTCGATTCCCGCCTGGCGCACACTTTTGTCTTCCCTCACTGGTTGTAAGCCCTACAAAGAGGGAAGATAGGTCTTCAGGCTAGCAACCCCCACCCCGTAGAAAAGAATATCATCCCTGTTGTTGAAACTTCAAAGATCAAGCTTGAAACCTTATTTTCCAATATGGAAAGCAAAAGAATAAAATAAATAAAATAATAATTTGTCATTTATATCCACTTTCAATGGGTCATTTAAAAATTCGTTTCAACAGAAATCATAATAGTTCCTTCAAGGTTGCAGATACGCCTTGCTGATGAGTGGCAACTAGCACGAAACCTAGGTCCAAGGCTTCCTGCCGATGGTGGCCACATTGCAAAACCTGACTGGTAGAATTCAGTTTGCACCAGAGAAAGGACTAGACACGTCATACTAAATACTAGTGTCCAATCAAAATACCCCCAAAAGTCCCACAGGAGGGCAAATGCGAGCCCGAATAGCTCAGTGGTAACACCTCTGACTGAAGCACTAGGTGACACGGGTTCGAATCTCAGAAGGGACATGAGTTCCTTCAAGGTTGCAGATACGCCTGTCTTGCTGATGAGTGCCAACTAGCACAAACCTAGGTCCAAGGCTTCCTGAGTCCGATTGCCTCCAACTATCTAATATCATCAAGTATAGTAATTTGTACTATCTAACGACTGTTATGAATTTCTCTATAATGTGAGCATTAATCATTCATTTGATGAGATACAGGTTGACTATATATATTAGTCATTTTAATGAAACTGTTCAAGAAAGTTTTCAGTTAAGAAAAAAATTTAGTAAAAATACTTTATTGATAAGTGCCAACATGGATATGGTAACTGCTTGTCGACTAAGTCTTACAGTGTGCCGTATTGTAGCATCTCTTAGATCAGGGATTACAATACAATACAATACAACTATAGTGTGTACCTTCTCTGCGTCAAATTATAACCAGGGTTGAAATCAACAGATGAAATAGAAATAATTATATATTTGTTAACTAAATAAACTGTTAGCTGGTCACCTTTGGATAGTTAAAGTGTTTGCAAGTTTTGGTTTAACAAGTAAGTATCCATGGTGTTTCTGAAGCCTTAATATTCTGGTTGACAGGCACATGGACTCATGTGAAAAATGGGCTAAATCCATTTTATCTAACTCACACCACCCTCTTCATTCACAACTCTCCCCTTGCATCTCATCAGGCAAAACCAGAAGCCTATATAGAAAACTATATGCTCGCACTAGCAAGTACAAAAACTCAACCATACCCTACTTAGCTCGTAATCTGTGCGATAAAGAAAGCATTAGGCGTGATACCTATAACTTATTAAATAGTCAGTAGAACAATTGGATCTCGTCTTTCCAACTCATATCATTTATAGGTACAACGTTTTCTTTCTTTCTTTTCCTTTTCTCTCTCTCTTTTTTTCCGTTATGTGCTGCTTGTTTCTTTCTTCCGCTTACGCCAGTAAATACGATAGCACCTATTTTTCTAACACCTTCAAACACTGTTCAATTTTGGCTTTGCTACCGACATGCCCATATGTTGTTGTCATAATGAACTGAGATTTCCTTAATCTATGTAGAATTTTATTTATTGATAATGTACTAACTGGATGCAATACTGTAGTAAAAATGCTGAGAATTCCATTCTGTATCACAAGTACTGTTTTGGAATAAAGCAAATTATTATTATTATTATTATATACACCCGGAGTTCCTAGACTAGCCGTTACACTCACCAAGAATCACCTTAACGTTTATTCTGTCTAAATATATTACTCTTGACAACTTACTTCTAAATATAATTTTAGCTTGATTCCACACAGTATTTTGGGACAAGTATGGAATTTTCAGCATATGATATCGGTAGCCCAAATTTAGCAGGTCGACCACTGATATCAGGGTGTGCGTGGGGGATCGAACCCCGGACCATGTGCATTATTAGTGTTTTGTTAGGAGTAATTACAGGTTGGAGTAAGTGTTACTACTGATTAACTGGGTACTAATGTGTATTTGTATTAGTAAGATTGATCAAATGTTGCCTAGTAACAAATCTATCCCTTGCATTACATAACACAGATCGATAAACTTCAATCAACATTAAAGACCTATAGGTTACAACCTACTGAATTCCTAAAGTCTATGAGCAGTAGAGGGAGAGCGATAGAGAGGTGATCACATAATCAGCTACAGTAGAATTCCTGAGTGCGGTATGCTAAAATCGAATCCAAATCGAAGTTTCCCAGAAAAAATATCTTAATCTCTGAGATAATTACTCATAATAACAATAATCTTCTATCTCTATGAGGCAGACGGATGTAAGCTTATCCAAAATTTATCAAAACAAACAGAAAAATGGTATTATTTCTTGTTTTTCGAAATCTTGTCGGACAAATATGTCACATCAGAATATCTGATCCTATTGACTATGCCTTTTAATACAGAAAAAAATGACCCAAGGGGTGTATAGAAGAGTGATGTAAAATAAATGCCTAGTCATACCATATCAACACTAGTACATTCGACAGAATAAGTGTCATTATCAGAGTCAACTGATGAAGTTGGCTGACTGACTGACTAAGTGACTGGCTGATTCCTCGTTATTGCCTTACATCAAACTATACAGTGTATACCACAGGATGCAGTGGTATCGTATCACTTAATTTACTGACCACATCAACTTTCTTCTATAATACCCTTCAAAAGAGATAGTTAATTAATTTTAACATTTAATAAACAATTGATCAAAAGAAAGAATCATCCCATTGAGTACTATTCAGTAGGGCTAACTAGTACATCATCATATCCTACAGTAATTTAAAAACAGAAGCTATTTTTCAGTGGACAGTTAGTCATTTAATTAAACCTCATATAATATCTGGGCTGACTAACCTACCAAGCAACTTTCAAACAAAGTCCCTCATGGATCTGGTTTACAGGGTGTTGCCTTCCTCATCCGCCTGCTTTTAACACTACTGTCCAATCAATATCGAACAACCCCTATTTAACATCAAGTAGGATGCATTTTACACATTTCTGATTCTATATTGATAATTGTTTAGGTTAAAAAGACTAGTTGAAGAACAGAAATCTTTGAAAAACTGTCATAAAAAGACATGTCATCTCTGTCTGTTAAATAAATTTAAATATCACCGAAAATACCCATTGAGTCATGAAGAAAATAAAAGACAGATTCAGCGAAGAAACTGTTTTCTTTATCGACGAAATCATCTTCAGAGGCTGCCTGTACAGTCGTATTTATACTTACAAAAATATATAGTGGTCTATTATTGAGTAATAGGCAAGGGGTTGACATAATCGATATAATTACTCAGAAGTGGCTTTAGAAGTAAAAAAAAATTAAAAGTTGTAAATTACGTGGTACTCAACGGAACAAAGATAGAAATTTGATAAGGTTAAAATTGCTATTGAGTGAGAATAAAGGTGGTATTTGAGTGTCAATTTAACAAGTGTGAAGAGCGTGTGAAAATATACAAAAGGAGCATATGAGAGTGATAATAGTGAATTAATTATTAAAGCAAAAGCAAACTAAAAGTAAGATTAAGAATGAAAAGAAAAAATCAAAAAATATTTTTTTTACAGGGAACGATTAGTGAGGAGGTTAAGACCAAGGTAGAATAAGAGACTGGACAAACGTTTTCTGTATACAGAGTTCAGGGTTGTATTGATGAATTGCCAGCGCCTCCGCCATACACAAAAGCCGAAACCTGACGCCCTTTGTACCATTTGGCTTCACTTTGTAGATGATCTTGAAAGACGATTCTGGTGGAGCTACGTGGCCTGAGTTCACCAAATGCTCGAGAATTGAGCTAGTAATTGTCTTACACTGTCCCTTTGCTAATCATGCCGGATAATGTTCAGAGATGCGTTTGGAAAGCGTGCGCTTTGTGCGGCCAATATAACTAGCTCCACACGAGCAGGTGAATTTATAAACACACATTGAGGTGGCCCAAAGCGGCAGTTTATCCTTCACACATCCACTGATCATTTGTCGGTTGTAGAAATTGATACGTAGCTCAGCCATAAAGAAAGCTTTCCTCAGTGATCTGCTTCACCAGAGTCGTCTTTCAAGATCATCTACAAAGTGAAGCCAAATGGTACAAAGGGCGTCAGGTTTCGGCTTTTGTGTATGGCGGAGGCGCTGTATAGAGAAAAAGTTTGTCCAGTCTCTTATTCTACCTTGGTCTTAACCTCCTCACTAATCGTTCCCTGTAAAAAAATTTTTCATTTTTCTTATCTTTTTTAATTTTTAATCTTACTTTTAGTTTGCTTTTGCTTTAATAATTAATTCACTATTATCACTCTCATATGCTCCTTTTGTATATTTTCACACGCTCTTCACACTTGTTAAATTGACACTCAAATACCACCTTTATTCTCACTCAATAGCAATTTTAACCTTATCAAATTTCTATCTTTGTTCCGTTGAGTACCACGTAATTTACAACTTTTAATTTTTTTTACTTCTAAAGCCACTTCTGAGTAATTATATCAATTATGTCAACTCCTCACCTATTACTCAATAATAGACCACTATATATTTTTGGTAAGTATAAATACGACTGTACAGCCAGCCTCTGAAGATGATTTCGTCGATAAAGAAAACAGTTTCTTCGCTGAATCTGTCTTTAAATTTAAATATTCTCATTATCATAATTATACAAAACAATTTAAGCAAAAACCGTAATTTTCGGTAATTTCTCATCAGGCCTTAACAATTACATAATAAAACTATAAATTGCATTTATATATTTGACATCAATGTGTTTAATAGAATTCAAGTTCAGCTAAATGCATTCATTAGTGGATAAATAACCGTGTGTTTATATAATCTAGGTAGCTATTATTTTTAGAATTTTTATTATATAATAGCTAGAACATTCTTTGCTCCGACACTTGTTGTAAAATTCCAAAATTCCACTTCAATTGTACACTTATAAATGTAACTGCTCTTCTGGAGACAGTTACATAGGCAGAACGAATCTTCAAAGTCCATCGTCACCTTTTTAAACACTGTTCAATGTATTTAATTCAATTTTAGATTTTTCCCGTCGATTGATTGGACCGAAGTGCTCGGTCTCAATATGACCCGCTGCACAAGAGGTGGCTCTCGTGGCCTAAGTGGTCTAGTGGATAACGCTTTGGCGTTGGAAACTATGGGCACTGGGTTCGAGTCTCGGTGGGAATATCATCACTCACTGAGAAATGCAGGTACATCCAGTTGACGAGTCCCAAATAGGACGAAATGCGCATCCTGGATTCCACTGCTAGTCACCATCCACCAATTAAATACTGTTCAATGCAGTTAAGAAAAGGAATCGTAAAGTTAATCAGGTGTTCCCCACTGCGCACATCTAGTGGATACGAAGCCCTTACCCTTCTGTACAAGATATACCATCTCATTTCGCTAAGTTTGAACACCTTTTTAGGTCTAGCTAAAGCATTTGTCATAATAAAGAAAAAAGATTTTCAACCCAATCTATGTCATCAGAAAAAGTTTATTCAATTTCTATCCCACCCGTTATAAAGGATTTCACCTTCAACCAAATTACACTTAGAATTTAGCTGAATAGTTCTACAGAAATTAGGCGCCAAGTGAATAGTTATCTATCCCGGTGATACTGGATAAGTGTAAACTCTATCTTGGCTTGTAGGGTTATCTTAGTTTTAACAAGTGATTATGACATCAAACACTCCTATTATCTAATCGCTATGAGGTAATCGTTATTTTTCCCGTCTATTCACCTTCTACTTATACATTCACAACAATTGACTATCTAGATTACATAAACATTTTGTATAGGTTCGAGTTTCAAATGGAAAAACCTCAACTCACTGAAGATTACAAGTACATTCAGATGACGAGTCCCAAATAGGACGAAATGCGCATCCTGGATTCCATTAGTAGTCAAAATCTACCAAATAATATCCTTGTTATTCTTATGCATTAATTCATATGTCAGAAGTTTGCCTCTTAATAAACAACAGTGATACTAAATGCCCTATGCTTAGTGGTTTTATTATGTAATTGTCAAGTCTGATGAGAAATTATCGAGGATAAGTATTTGTTTGAATGGTGCTCTCTAATTTCATACATTTATCCCCCTTAATGAATTTGAACAAAGCAAGAACTACAGTTTTAGCAGAATAATAAAGTGGTACCATCTTTTATTTCGTTGCCTTCTCGTCAGCTGCTTACAGGGCAAACCTGATTTATGCGTCCAGAAAGAAGCGGTTATCAGTCTTTCTTTGTCCTGCCTGGTAACTGGATATGTTTCATCTCTCTTTCATCTGAATGCGTATATTGATCGATTGATTTTTGTTTAAAATTAACTCTGTGCAAGTATGTTAAAATTGTTTTTGTAGATATATTTAATAATGTCTTTGGCCTGTAAGCAGCTGACGAGAAGGCAACGAAATAAACAATGATGGTACCACTTTATTATTCTGCAAAAACTGTAGTTCTTGCTTTGTTCACAAGCTCTCTAATTTATTTATTCACTTAATTAATTCAGGCTAACATTAGAAACTTTGATTCGACACTGGATAGTAACTGATGTCATGTGCAGACAGAATTCTATCAGTCAACTGAGCTCTATAATGACGCGGATTTGAATCTCAAAAAAGGGGAGATGAGTTAGTTACTTCAAGAGTGTATATACGCCTTGTTGACTGGTGAGTGCGAAGAAGCAAGAAACCTAGGTCCAAGGCTTCCTTCCGATTAACTGCCTCCGACCACTTAATAACATTAGAAACCTAGAGACTAACACCTAGTTACACTGTACCCTAATGTAATAAAATATTTTTTTTAAACACAATATACAACAAATCAAATACTATCGCTTACCTTAACATCTTCTGCATGTTTCAATAGTAGAGCTTTACGAATAGCCTTTGTTGTATCCTTCATATCTTTTGCACGCATATACAAATCATTGAATTCCCCCAGACTGAGATAATTACGCGGTTGACCGACTAAATCGCGTATTTCATGTCCAGCCACAGAGACACCAACAATCTCCAAGGCTTGTTTAATATCACTCCAGGCAACATTATTTGATTCACGGACAGAATCAAAATTACGAAACAAATCGTCCAGTTGTTCTTGAGTCAAGGACTCGACTGCCATTTAATAGAATTTTAAATTATTGATGTGATTAAGTAGAGTAATCGAAATCAAATAAATTTGTGTGATGAATAAATAGATTAGAAATAATAAAGGCTGAATACAGATTCACCGAATACTGGTTTATATATATATATGTGTATGCTGCTGCGAGCGAATTCAACAGGTTCCTGTTTGATGATGAGTGTGAACCAGAGTGACTTTAATGGTGTTGTTGTTTAGACCTTTATCATCAAATCACGTTTTTATGGGTATATTTATATACACGAAATTGTTGAATTCAACACTCTAAATAAAACAAACTAAATTATGAGTGATCATTAATCACATGACATGTTTAGTAGTGTGTGTGTGTGTGTGTGTATCAAATAGAGTCTTAGCAAATTTTTTTATTGTACGATATTTAATATTGGTCTGTCTATGTATCCATATTATTATTTTTTGTTTGTTTGTAAGAGCATGAAATTAGAATGTGAGTACATGTCTGTACACCTATAAGGCTCATGTGTATTATATGTGTACTCGTTACTACTACTACTACTACTAACTAGAGAGTACACTGTAAAGACCTATTAATTTTTCAAGGGTTGGTTTGTATGAATTTTGATATGTTTTTCAAGTTTGACCATGGATTGATACTAGAGTTCGAGAACCATTGAAAACAAGCAGGGATTAGAGTTTCGTCCTCGTTTGGGACTCATCAACAGTACACACTCTTCGGGTTTCGAACCCAAGGAAGGACATTCCGGTTGAAAGGCTAGTTCTTAGAACATTTTAGTCACTGGGACCCAACTCAATGACCCACCATGACCAGTGGGGTCCATCCTGTCGGAAGTGAGGAAAAATACTCGCCGATAACATTCGCTGGTGCCAGTCACGTTAAAATCACGAAATTGCTGGTTATTACGGTAGGGTCCCAGTGGGTGAATAGCATATGAGCATTCCTTGTAACCTAAAGGTCCTTGGTTTGAAAAATAATGGATACGTACCGCCAATAAGTTTCAGACTAAGTCGAAACAGCTGTCCAATACTTCCTGCTGGTTTTCAGTGATTCTCTAACTGATATCAATCTATTGTCAAGCTTGGAAGATCTATTAGCCTAAATTCTATCTATCTACCTTCTGATGTGTTTTCCTGTCTTCTTTTAGATTACAGGAAAATTGAACAATTGTTTCGTGCTGGTTTAAGACTCTTCAACTGTAAACACCCAAATTCCGACCTAATAGGGATCAAAACCCAGGGGATTCAGGCTGTGTGACGAAACTCGTTGACCATGGTGGATCTCATTGGTCACATCTTCTCAGTACAGCTTCAGGACATTTCATCCAGTTGCCATCAACGAGGCCGAGATCTAGGCTGACTTCATTGTAGTTTTCACCACTGACGAATATCCCTTAGAGAGATTATTGAGTTACACTGAACCATCGAACATTTACGGTGACTGAAAAGTTTAACACGGCTATGAAAAAAACTGATCTCCAGCCTTTGAGGTCCTTAACAAAGCACTATTTCCTTCAGAGCTGCACATATACCCTCCTGACGAAGACGAATACGTACAAAAGTTAGGTTTAGGGAGGGAGGGAGTGACTACATAGCATATCTCTTTTTAGAAGTGGCGCCATCTGTTTTCCCGGGCGGGTATTATCAAGTTTCAATAAGTAAGCCTACTGTCCTAGCATGATTTCATGAAAATCCATGAATTTACATTTGGACTTACTACATCGTAGATTGGATAATGTGACAAACAGCGGGCAATGAGGAAACAGGCATAAAATGGACCCACACAAAATACTTGGAGGATCTGGACTTCGCCGATGCTGTATGTCTGATTTCCCACAAACTGGAAGACATGCAAGCGAAAAGCAACAAGTTGGCAGAAGAGGCATCAAAGATAGGACTTCAGGTGAACATAGAGAATACAGAGGTGATGAAGATTCCTGGGCAACACCAACAACAACAACAGCAACAGACAACAATCAGCATAAATGGGATGGATCTGAAAGAAGCAACCTCCTTTACCTACCCACCTGGGAAGCATCGTTTCAACTACAGGCGGAAATGACGAGGATATCAAAGCAAGAATCGGAAAAGCAAGACAAGCTTTCACTACTCTCAAGTCTGTGTGGAGGTCAACAGAACTCAGCATCAAAATGAAAATAAGATCCGGATTTTCAACTTCAATGTGAAGTCAGTGCTACTATACGGATCAGAGACTTGGTGCGTCACAAACAGCATCTCAAACAAGTTACAGACCTCCATTAACGGTTTTCTTCGCTCAATACTCAAGATCAGATGGCCAGCCAGAAAAGATCAGCAACAGGGAGGGATCTCTTGGAGCGAACCAACCAGGAACCAATTGTGAAACAAATAGACAGGAAGAAATGGAGATGGATTGGCCATACTCTGAGGAAACCATCAAGTGACATCACTAGACAAGCCATTGCTCGAGTGGAACCCGAAAGGGAAGCGGCGAGTTGGTCGTCAGTGCAAGGGTGACTTGGAGGAGGTCATGTGAAGAGGAGATGAAAACGTGTGGGTAGACATGGAGCCAGGTGAAAACTCTAGCAGAGAACTGAACGCAATGGAGAGACACGGCTGAAGCCCTATGTTCCTGTAGGAATTAAAGGATACAATAATAATATAATAAATACATCGTTTAATCTATTGGGTTGCGCAGATATCACTATCAAGCGTCATTTCCTGGTAAAAGTACAGCAAGTGTGAGGCAGTTGAAGAATATAATGCCACCGATAATATGTACGTTAGAGAAACATTTTTAATGCAAAATTTCATTTAAAAAGTATATTAAAAATATAACTAGTCATTAAACCACCATAGCAACGGATTACGACGCTACAATTAGCGGGGATATGCAATAAAGCCATCCGTTTTAAGGTACCCTCACGACTGCCTCCAACCATCTATCAAAAAAAATCAAAGTGTACTACCACGACAAGGCATCTAGATAGGTGACACATTGTGGTTACGCTTTAATAACCAGTAAATGCCTACATTCATATCTGTTTCATTCTTGTTTCGTCCATAAGCATACACATCAGCAAGTAGTATAAGAATGGCCGCTTTCCTGATTTTCATATGAATGAGTTTCTTAAATATCTTCAGTGCTTGAAGCCTTCCCCATCCCTGGGTCCAGATGGTGTGCCAGCTATTATTCTCAGAAAATGTACGGATACTTTTATGTCATCCTCTTACTGATATTTTCAATACATAATTTTCCACAAATGTTGTGCCGACTTCTAGGAAAGATATTCAAATTGTCCCGGTGCTTAAATTGTCACGGGGGTTATGAGTTAAGTTCAGACTTATTGCTAATACCTCATGATTTTTCAAAATATTATGAAAAAAAATGATATTACTTGAACCTTCATTGAAGGCTTCTAGCTGACAAACACGGTAAATGTTCCTTAGATGTCGTTGTTGTCTTATATCATAATATTATCTCCAGTTTAGACAGAAGCGCCAAATATGTCGGGTATACTCTCCTAGAATACACATCTGCTTTCAAATCTGTACCAAGGCCTCTTCTGTTAAACAAACTAGCTATGACATAAACATGGTGCTGGATCAATAAATTCATTTACTCTTACTTTTCTGATAGGAAGCAGCAGTACAGCGTGCATACAGGATAGTCTTTTACTGATTTATTTACTGTAGCTGGTGTCCCTCAAGGTGCTATTCTTCCTCCATTTCCATTTTCTTTCTTCTTACATGACTAACCTCATTATGATAAAGCTAATTTTGTTGAATATATGAATGATGTGACTGTTTCCACATCGGCCACATTTCAGTCATATTGTTCCAAAATGAATAGCTTTTTGTCGTGAAGTAGCCAGTGGTCTTTGTCAAACTATCTAAGGCTGAATCTCTCCAAGTGTCAAACTGTTAATTCCACTCTCAGATACAAACGTGATTTACATGAACTGGTCCATTGCTATATATACAATATTTAAGAATAATCTGATGCTCACTAGCTACTGGTCACATTCAGGCAGTTAACCTGAGGTTCTAGAGGGAAGCCGTGACCAGTAGGGTACAGCAAGTTGAAGGTGAGGCAGTAACTCATCGAAGAAAACATTGAGAAGTGGTTGCGCTATGTCATGAATTGGCAGAAGCTAGAATTCATGGGTCGGCCATAGGATCAGGTCCCAGTGACGTAATGGTCTACGAGCCATCTGGCCTTGTAGCTAGAATGTCATAGGTTCAAACCCTGCCTGTGGGTGAGTAATACTGAAGAGTCCTAATCTGGAAAAAAACAGCAGTTGTCTAATACTTCCTTTGTCTGGTTTTCCAATGGTTCTCTAACTGATTTCAGCTCGTGATGAAATCCTTCAAACAGTTAAGAATAATCGTTATTACCAACAATGATGTTCTTAAATAATATTGAGTTGTTAAGATGAATAGAACTGCAGGTCAAAAAATATAACTAAGGGACAATAAGCTTTTAAAAAATATAATGATTAATTGAATACCAGATAAAATTAAGAAGGAAAGTAATGTGACAATTGAAGGTAGGGTGAAGGTAGGGAAAGTGTTTGAATGAACATATTATTAGTTAGACTTCTTCAGGTGGATTCCAACAACTTCACATGTATATAAAACATGAACTCTTAAGGCGAAGTTGAGATTAGTTGGAATACGGCAGATTGCTTTAAAAGCCTCAATAACATCGATTTTGTTTGTTTTCAGTATCTACAAAATGAGCTAAGCTAGAGATTCAAGTTGTTGTTGTCTGTCCCTTGATTAACCACACGCGATGATGTTCGAGAATCCAGTGATAAACATGTCTAATTGTACGTTCAGTGTAACTGTTTCCACAAGATCAGTTCAACTGATAGATACACATAAATGAGGAAAATTAACTAGTTTATCCTTATCTCTTCATACTACTTGTAAGCAGCTCTATTGTGGACGTTGAACTCGACAAAATCAGTGAAACACAACGCTAAAGGAATGCAGTGAAAAGAGCATTCAGTGCTACAGAAGTTCGACGTCTTTTCACAACTACTCTAAATTCACGTTCGGAAGTTAAAGATAAACTACCTAATTTCCCCTCGTCCACATGTATCTGTCAGTTGAACGGCTTCTATGGAGCCAGCTACACTGGGCATACAATCGGAAATGTTCACTGTCCGGTTTCTGAATATTCTTCTGCCTGGCTAAACAAGCAACAGACAAGATCTATTTGCTTCTCTTTTTTGGCCTATCTTGTAGATTCTAATCATAAAGTCGATGCTAATAAGGCTTTCAAGGTTATCCAGTGTATTGCAATCAATTCTGTTTTTGCCATACAAGTTCGTCTTTTAAATATAGCTGAA